CAGCATTCCAACCACCTAAATAAAACAGAATTGCATGACTTGGGGTAAGTGTGGTTCTGTAAAGCGATCTGGCAGACCAGAACCATGGGGCATCCCAGCTGATGGAAAGAGTTCATGCCCTGAAATACTACACTAATTTAGCAATCAGTGATGAGCTGTGGGTATTAACCCACAAAGATGCCTATGGTGCATTTGTAAGTGAGTAAGAGTAGGTATAGTAAGATCCAGTTTTGATTTTAGGATAAAAAAAGTTATAAGTATAGGGTAAAAATCCACCAATGGTAGTTATTTCTAGGTGGTAAGGTGATGGATGGTATCTTTTTTCTTACATCTTTTTCTATGGTTTACAGTAGAAAGTTTTACACAGAGGCTATGTCTCTGTTATAATCAGGAAAACCTAAATAGTCATTTCGATGAGGCCAAAACAAAACAAAACAAAAACTTCCCTATTACAGAAGTCCTGACAAGAATCAAGGTCAAAACTAAGAGTGGTGCAGAGGAGGAAGAGGGTTGAGATTTTCGAGCAAGTGAACATCATCAGGACTTGGTAAGGCCTGAGGGAGGAGCCCAGGGTGGGTCTGTAGTTTCTGCCCTTGGCGACCAGCTGGTGTGGGAGTCCTCAACACAGAAGCACCAGCTGTGGTTAAAGGCCAGCACAGCAACTTTTAAAACAAATAATTGCACATTTTAGTGCAAGTGCTTAGGACTTAGTGGTGGAAAGACAGACTTCAGAGATGTAGGCACTGAAAGAAGGGTCGATTTGACTGAATGCAATTTTTTTAAGCTTATTTATTTGCGAGAGAGTGTGCTCACGCACACACATAAGTGGGCTAAGGACGGAGAGAGAGAGAATCCCAAACAGATTCCCCAAACAGATTCAGCACCAAGCCCAATGTGGGGCTCAGACTAACAAACCAGGAGATCATGACTTGAGCTGAAATCAAGAGTTGGGTGCTTTAACCGACTGAGCCCCTGACCAAATAAAATTCTTGAATTAAATTTGAAATGAGGATGTTATTTATTATTGTTTGGTAGGAATAAATGCCTCATTTATTAAGTAGTTGCCAAACTGTGAGGGCAGAGACTCCTTGGTGTTGTCGTCTCTCAACACCTCGCATTTAACCGGTTTTTTACAGAGTGCTCTAAAATGGTTGTTGTTGAATGAATTATCAAGCTAACCTCCCCATAGTTCTTAGAAGAAATCATCGCTGTGATCTGCTTAGGAAGCCCATCAGGCTGATTTGTAATCATTTGTAAATAGGTGCTTCCAAAGTACTTAAAATAATGCTTTTCTTAAAAAAGAAAATACTTGTTCTAAGTTATTTTAAGGCCACTGTTAATGTTTAGCAAATCCCCTTCTGTTTGTCACATGTAAAAAATCAGCTTGGTCCCACAAATATGTAGCATAAGTCACTCAAGAAACTGGGGTAATCTTAGACACATTTTTTCCCCTTGGGTCTTTTCGTGTGTACTTTGGTCTACCTTGTAGCATTATGTTCGTCAGAAGCGTGTTTACCACTGTAGACAGAGCCCAGAAAATAAAATATTTGGACCACGAGGCTGTATGTTAAAATGTTTTAAGGAGCTTGAGCTCTGAGACCAGCTGGTGTGGCTCTGAATCCCAATGTGTAATTTCCTCGCGTGCAGACTTGGGTAGTTGAAGTATCTCCCCCCATTTTCTCATGTGTACAAACAAGTTAAAAGATTGTCATGAAGATGAAATGAAACAGTCACTGTAAAGCACTTAGCACAGGACACCGCACATCGACAGTACTCAAGTCTTAGCCATTTAAAACAAAGTCACATTTGTTCACCACCTGGGATGAGTAATTTCCAAAAGTGCAGGATTTCCTGTATCTCACTTATGATGAAAAGTTTTTTTAACATTTATTTATTTGTGTGTGTGAGAGAGAGGGGGTGTGAGAGAGATAGAGTGTGAGGAGGGGAGGGGCGGAGAGAGAGGGAGACACAGAATCTGAAGCAGGCTCCAGGCTCTGAGCTGACAGCACAGAGCCCAATGCGGGGCTGGAACCTACGAACCAGATCATGACCTGAGCTGAAGTCGGATGCTCAACCAACTGAGCCACCCCGGTGCCCCTATGATGAAATTTTTAAAATTTACCTTGAGGGGCGCCTGGGTGGTGCAGTCGGTTAAGCGTCCGACTTCAGCCAGGTCACGATCTCGCGGTCCGTGAGTTCGAGCCCCGCGTCAGGCTCTGGGCTGATGACTCAGAGCCTGGAGCCTGTTTCCGATTCTGTGTCTCCCTCTCTCTCTGCCCCTCCCCCATTCATGCTCTGTCTCTCTCTGTCCCAAAAATAAATAAACGTTGAAAAAAAAATAATAAAATAAAATAAAATAAAATTTACCTTGACATGTAAATACTTTCTCTTTGAAACCCTCCCACCACAGCTAAATTCTCTATTCCCATCTTCAGGCAGAGCAAAAGACAAAGCTTGGGATGAAGTTGGATCTCCACAGAAAGGTCATTTTGGAGAGCTTCAGTCTCTCTTGATGACTTTTGACTTATTATTAACTGATTTTAGAAATATGTGTGTTGAGACCATGGCCCTCAGGGACGATGTCACCAGGCAGGTACCCAGCTGCTGGCCAGCTCCTTGGAAGGGAGCCACATCAGGGCCTGTGGCTACTTCTGAATCAGCAGCTGGGCAGGTTGCAGCTGCATGACCCCGCCTGGCCCCCTTGCCCAGCGTCCTGTGGCAGGTTCGGCGTTCCCTGGGAAGATCCATGGGAGATCTGACCAGTGCCAGTGAAATGTGGCCGTGCCATTGATAGGTGCAGCCTTGAGTCTTCTCCACGGTCCTTACCAGCGCTTACAGGCTGCCCATCCCCAGCTAACACCTCCAGACCAGAGAGAGGAGTCAAAATAAAGTGTTGGCGTGAAAACTCAGAGAAGAGCATGTCTCTGTAATTGTTCATACAATGTCAAAATTGATTTAGTACCAAATGACAGTCGTAAAGCAGTCGTAAAGAGCCCACCGTTTCTCACAAGTTTTTTAAATAGGTTGTTGGCTCTCTCACCCTCACTGTTTAAGCCAGAAGCTATGGGAATTTTTGACGCAAAAATACATACATGTATGAGTTATTCTTTTCTTTTTTGGGCTTTGATTTTATTTTTGACTCTACGTTAGTATGTTACATTTTTTCACCTTTTAAGTTGTTTCAGATGATAGATTCAAAATTCACCCTTTTAATGAAGTGCCCATATAGGGACTGGATAACTGAATTTCAGAGAAGATTACGTAAAGCATGGAGGTTTAGTCACCGTATACATTTTCTGAAGGTAAAAAACACAGACTCAAAGTTTAGACAGTTTTTATTTCAGAATTTTGACAGCTAGAAGTTTCACAAAGAGATGTTTTAAGCTGCATTACTGACCTTTTGAATGTGCTGCGCTCTCTTCCCCTCCCTCATCCTCCTTCAAAGCCCCTCACCAGCAGCTCCTCAAAGAGAAAGAAAAGGCAACCATTGCCCCTTGTTGACAGTAGAATTTATTCACTCATTTACTTTCCAGCCGACTGCAGCCGTTGCCGTCGCCTCTGGGCACTTGTTCAAGAACACAGAAATGAAATAACAGATTGGCCAGACCGAACACAACTCCCCAGTCACAACCCTATTATCTCCTCATTCTGTCACCCCCATTAGGCAGAAGCCTGGGAGACTAGATGGTGATAACACAGTATTTACGCAGTTCGTTCATGTCCACAGTTCACGGCTTTCCGCTGGCGTTCCCTCATTCGTCTGTGTGCGGGGCAGAGGAGAGTGAGGCCTGGGGCTTTAGGTTCCTAGGTCTTTGCACAGGCCTCCCCCTGCCCATTGTAAAGGGTTTCTGTGCAGGTCCCCTGCCTGGGAAAGAGCTCCTGCAGCCTGAGGAAACCGGAGTAAGACAAGGGGGCCAACCTGCTCCGTGTGCTTACCACCTCCCTGGGGAAGGAGTGTGATCAAAGCCATACGTACCCCGCATTGTGTGGATTTGTCTGAATATTAAGTGTCTCTCCATTTAGGGTATTTATAGCCGCTCTATTCAGGTCAGAATCAAGCAGAGCAGTTGCTTTATTTAATGTTATGGGGCCTCTGCAGGGTCATTTACTGAAAAACATATTTCTCTGGGCAGAATGTGTAGCAGAGGAGGGTCTCTGTTTCGACTACAGAGAATTGTTTTCTGATTTTTGCCTTCCAGTGAAATTCCTCTTAAAATGATAGGCACAAGAGACCAGTGTTGGAGGGAGGTGTGGGGTTGCTTCCCCACTGGATCAAGTGTTGAACTAGAGAAGTTTGAGAACTCATGTGAAAAGTGATCCAGAGGAAGATGCCTTGCTCTTCCAAGATAGTCTGTCTTGTAGACGAGACACTGCTCCTTGTGGTGGTTGGCTTCTCGGGGTGGCTTACATCCCAGTGAGTTTCACCTTTCTTTCTGTCTTTATTCCCTCCATCTGTTCAGTGTAGTTCCATAAGGACATCTCCCGTTAGTGAGTAATTCTTAGGGGAGGCGTTGATTGGTTTGGCCCCCAGCTCCCTTTTTACCCAGCTGGCATGAGATCACATGGCATGGGGCTGCCAACAGCGGCCTCACCCCTATGAGAACCCTTGATTCAACCCTGCTCTGGCCATTTGTTGGTAAAGCCAGGAAGGCAACGTTTCTGTCGGGAGATAGCGGGCCTTGTGCTAAGGAAATAGGAAGGAGGAGAGCACACAGCAGAATGCTTTTCAGACAGATGTATTTTATAGGCGGGGGTGGCGGGAGAAAAAGGCAGGATTTGGTTCAGGTTAATCCATCCTGGAGAGAATTCTTATGTGAAGGTTCTGCTAGGAATATGTGGGAGTAGGTAATCCCCTGCCTCCCCCTTCCCAGGTTAAGAAATAGAACAGGGTAAAATGAAAACATCTAATTATGTGCAAGGTGGTTTATCTCAAATTTGTGATCGTTGCTTCTTCTTGCTGATTAAATCCTAACTGCCCTGTCCTTTCCTTTCCACATCAGCTCATACCCCAGACAACAGCTTTCTGGGATTTGTGGTTGAGCAGCATCTAAACTCCAGCGATATCCACCACATTAACGAAATCAAAAGGCAGAACCAGTCCCTTGTGTATGGCAAAGTGGATAGCTTCTGGAAGGTGAGTCAGTCTGTGTGTGTGTGTCTCTCTCTCTGCCTCTGAAAAGAAGCTTGTTGGGTAATTTAATTTAACTTTGATCCAGGGAGTAATCAAGCCAAGTGCCCAGGGCTTAATGGGATCTGCTTAGAAGTGAACAAGACTATGCAAGGATTTGGCGGTTCAGCATGTGGGTATCTAATAAAGGCTGTATCTGCTCGTTTGCACAGTGGCTGCACAGAAAACCCCTCCACTCTTTGTTGGAAGTGACGTGTTACAGCTTCTTTCACATCCTGTACTTGCTTCTGAAAGCGAGGGCCCTTCAAGGGCTGGATATCTTTCTGGAGCAAGGCATTGCACGGAGAGCTCCCGTACCAGGTGACTCTGCCTGTGCCTTTTGGGACATGGTGTGTGAAGCTAGAGCAGTGCTCTCTGCCTGGGGGAGCGCAGTGGTCTTCTTATGCCTTCTTAGCTGTGGGCAGCACCAACTCCCCGGGAAGGGAAAACGCCTGCCAGGGCTGACTACAGGCACTTTCCTCTGAGGGATCTCGGGCGAGGCCACATCCTTGGCTATAGCCTGAGCCAGGTTTTCCAAAATCACTGGACTTGGGGACCTCCTGGATGATTTCCAGAGTCCATCTGGGAGAGGTACAATAGGAGAGGAGCTGGACGAGAGTGTGATCTGTTGACATGACTTCCAAACCTTTTTATATGCAAAGTCTGCCTGTGTATGCCACTGCCATAATTTTGATTGAGGACATGTTTGTACAGGACACAACAGTCTCCAGAACTTCAAAACATGACTCTTCCTAAACATAAAAGCTATCACTTTCCAGAATGATCAGGGACTGTGGTCTCTTGTTGTGTCTCTTGTATTGAGGAAGTTGGAAATCTGACCACTGAGTGAGCACAAGTGGTGTATGGGGTAAAGAACTCCCTGCTGTTGATTTTCTGACCCCGTGTTCAGAAAAGGAAAAGCCTTGCTGTCCTCTCTTCAGTTCTGTGATGCTAATGATACCAAAGGGACAGTTAAATCAGCCTATTTCCAGGGAAACTGATTTAATTCCAGGTAACTGTCTTTGCTATAAACAACTAGAATTCTCCCTTAGTTTAGTACTGTGATCCTCATCGGGGGACACTTTCACCCCCAAGGGACACTTGGCAGTGTCTGGAGACCATTTTGGTTGCCATGACTGAGGGAGGTGCCATTGGCTTCTAGGAGGTAGAGGTCAGGGATGCTGCTGACAGGGCACAGGACAGCCCCACAACAGAATTACCCGGCACAAAATATCAGCAGTGCTGAGGCTAAGAAACCTGAGCTGGTAAATAAGATTTATTTCTTACATCCATTATTTCTCATTTTCTCCTCTTGAGTAAAATAAAATCATGCAAGACTAAATGGTTATTTAAGACGTTCCCATGCACTTAGACATCTTTGCTTCCTTTGCATCAAAACCTGCCCTGTGTCAGCAGTTTTCAGCTGACTTTCAGCCAAAGAGGTTAAAAAGGACACTTTGGGTGTTGTCATTCTCAGCTCAGTTGTGAAGTGAGTGAATCATGGCACTGGGTTTAGGAAGACATGGGCTCTTTAAAAAAAAGTGTCACTCCTTTCTCTCCTCCACACCTGCTCAAAGGAAATAGTTTGCATGTCTGTGTGAACTTGACCTTGCAATTATATCACTTCTGTTTTGGAACCAAGTGCAGCTTCCTTTTAGGTGCCTCTGGCAGTTTTTCAGTTTCCCTAGAAAAAACAAAATAATACATTGGTTCTGAAAGCTTTTTGATCACCTTTTTTGGGATAAAGGAATATTTGACTCTGAAAGAATGATTTTGTTGATGCCAGTCAGAATCCCAGAAGTGTTAGCTGTGTTGGCCCAAGGGATATGTGGCATGATTTGGAAATCCTTCTGAAACTCCACAAATGACCCAACCTTCCTCTTACTATAAGTCATCCAAGTATTAAAAATGGGTGAGTGGCAGTGTGTCTATATTAGTCTTCGAATACTTCAAATCTGGGGTGTTAACTTCACTTTTCTAGATTATTGCCCATTACTTTCTTCTTAATGTTTATGTATTTTGAAGGGGGGCAAGGAGGGAGGGAGGCGGGTGGGTGGGTGGGAGCGGGGAGCGGTGGAGAGAGAATCCCAAGAAGGTCTATGTTGTCAGTGCAGAACCTGTCACAGGACTTGATCTCATGAACTATGAGATTATGACCTGAGCCGAAATCAAGAATCAGATGCTCAACCATCGAAGGTCACCGAGGCACCCCTATTGCCCAGTATTCTTGGATGAGAAAAGGCCCAAAAGATGAAAAATGTGGTGAGGTTTTTACATCAATTCAGGACATCTCAAACTTTTGAACACAATACAGTGTGTGAGAATTGTTACTTTTAACAAGACATCCCCGTCCTCATAGTGGCTAGTGAGTGTGCACAGAAAACAGACGTACCTTAAGTGTGATGTTAGTGCATCCACATTTCCAGGGTTGCATTCATCACTGCCTTTAGTCTGCAGGAAGTATTATATATTGTTTTTCCTAATCCATGCCCAGTCTCTCCCCCCCCCCCCATCTCCTTTGTTTCTAATCTCTTTAGGAAGAGGGGTGACCTCTGTCCTGGGAGGCTGAGGATTTTAGGGGGGGCATGTGGGCAGGTACATGTTTGAAGTCGACCATCTCGGGATGTCCTCCTTCTCCCTCAGATTCTAAGACTCGCTGAAATTCTGAATATATCTGCTGTGCCTTCAATCCTGTTGTATGTCCTCCCCTCTTTTGAGGGAATCTGCCTAGCTGCTGGGGCACTTGAGTGGGGGATGCCACCACATGCCCCCTCCACCCTTGGCTCAATGGCTCAGTGGGTTGTCCTCTGACCCAAGGCAGCCCAGCATACTGGTGTTTGGCAGCCATGATTCTGGCTCAGAAAGCCAAGCTGGACCCAGGAGATTCTTCCCTTGGCATTGGAAAATAGAGGGGACCATGAGCCGCACAGACAGGAATCAAAAGGACATGTCCAGAGTTGTGATCAGGCTGAGGCAGAAGCTTCCCAAGAGTGCAGTAATGAGGAAGTGGGACCGATTTGGAAACAGGATGCTGTTGAGAGAATGATGGAACAGAACCCCAGGGAAGAGAGGTACCACCCTGAGAGAGGTGGGGTGCTCTGGAGGAGCCAGGAAGGAAGAACAGACAGAGACCACCCATGCAATGTGCAGAGAAAGAGAAAGTAGCTGCCAGAGTTCCCCAAACCTTTTTTTTTTTTTTTTGTAGATCATATATCCCTTTATCACGCTCTGTTCCCTTGCAGTATCCTAAGGGGTTTCTGTTCCTTAGAGTCATATGTAGGATAGCTACTAAATATTTGTCGTCCCTGCATTGCAAATGCTTATGAAGAAACATAATTTGTTGAATATAGAGGCTAAGAAGGAGTGGGCTACCTCTTAAGCTCCCCCCAGTTCTGCCTGAAATTAATGGCAGACGGACCTGTGGTCTTATCCTGATGTTACAGTACATAGTAGAGAGGTGGGAGGGGACCTTGCTGCCACAATGCCAAAGGCACCCACTTAGGAAGCATCACTAAGCAGCCAAGACCCTTAGCACCACATGAGACTGCTAACAGCTTAATCCCAAGTGCAGATGTCTGTCTTAGCCCAGGAACCTATGGGTCTGAGTTCTTCATGTCTTCCTCCGGGGCATCCACTGATCAATCTGATCACTGGCATCCACTAACACGTGCCTAGAAGTCTACCCAGTGTGGTGGCCAGATTCAAGGCCCCTCAACATCCTATTACCAAAGTCATTAGGAAATGAAAAATTGGTTGATTTTGTAAAAATAAGACATTTGAAACATTGTGGAAAGTAATATTAATTGCTGTCTTCCTTAGCTGTATTATTTATTTCCATATTTCTTTAAAAATCCTATCCTGAGGGGCGCCTAGGTGGCTCGGTCGGTTGAGCGTCCGACTTCAGCTCAGGTCATGATCTCACGGTCCATGAGTTCGAGCCCCACGTTGGGCTCTGTGCTGACAGCTCAGAGCCTGGAGCCTGCTTCGGATTCTGTGTCTCCCTCTCTCTCTGACCCTCCCCCATTCATGCTCTGTCTCTCTCTGTCTCAAAAATAAATAAACATTAAAAAAATAAAAAAATAAATAGTATCCTGAGCCTAACTGAATCTTGTATTGATGATGCAGGGTCAGCATTTTACATAGTTGTGATCCCACCTTTGTGTTCTCATTACTTACCGATGTATCATTGCTGTGAAAGTAAATGTCTTAAAGGTCTTGCTTTGAGCACCTCACGGGAATAAGCACAGCCTCTGAACAACCAGCCAGGGCAGCTTGTGAGGTAATTAACTGCTTTGAGCTTTAGGGTCCTGGTCTGTGAAATGGGTATGATAACACTACCACATAGAGCAGGGCTTCTGGGATGTACTCTTGCATATGAATCACCCAGCATCTTGTTAAAATGCCGGTTCAGACTCAGACCTTCAGGACTGGGGCTGAGACCCCCAGGGGTGTTTCTCACAAGCACCCAGGTGCTGTTGATGAAAATGCATTTCAGATAGCATGGCCTTGGGGGTGTTGGGGATTGTGTGAGGTCCCTGGCCCTGACTAGCTGGCCAACCAGTGAATAAATAATTCCTTTTTCCTCTTTCTTTTAGCTTTCCTGCTATATTTGTCAGGCTGCCAGCTGTCACGCTACTTCTCACTATTGTTAGCACCTGATTACAGTGACCTACTCACCCCCCCACCCACCCAACCCACCCAGTCTCATTTCCCACTAGCACATTTGTGGAACCTGGCCCCTTAGAATGGGGTAAACCTGTGGTAGGCTGTGGGCCCTGAGAGGAAGCGAGAGGCGTGGTGTCATCTGCTGTCCTGCTTTGTAGCATCTGTGCCTGCTGGGCCATATTGCATAGTGGTCAAGGACACAGGCTCGAGCCAGATCACTGGGTTCAAGTTCTGCCTCTTGCATCAGCTGCTTGATCAGCAGCAAGTTCTTAACTTCACTTGGCCTCTTTTCTCAGAGGGAT